TATTAAATGATTATTATGAAAGCATTTTCTCCATGTTTGTTCTACTTATATTTATATTTCTCTTCTTTTATAATAAGTGTGAGCTTGTGAAAATTTCCAGACAGGTTGGATGAAAGATACATCTTTTAGAGCTTGTGGAAATTTTTGGATGTTCGAAAGTGTCTTACTTATACGCCCCCAACCAGGTTGAATGAAAGATGGATCTCTCAGAGCTTGAGGAAAATATCATCATCTCTAGAGATTTGAAAGTTGAAATTTGTTTTGGAATTATTACAAACAACTCTTCATTTGGAGGACATTTCATATTCATTTGAATATTTATGTAAACTTTGTTCCTCAATCAAAGTAAATATTGTGAAGTGTTAATATGTTGTTAACATGATACTTATGCTTTCTCTTTTAGTATTTTCATATTGAATAATCTTGTGAAGTACTCATAATCTATATATATATATATAAAGGAGGAACATAGAGAAGGTGATGTGGCACCTCTCTATGACCTCCATTCATATTTATTATTTTTATTTTTATTTTTGATATTTTTTCTTATTTCTTTCAATTATTTTTTCTTGAAAAATCATCTTCTTAACTTATACCTCTAAATTAGTATTAATAATATTCATAACTCCCAAACTTTTCATATTTATAACCTCTCAAGTCTTTCATATTCATAACCTCTAATTATTTAATGTGGAAGGTTATATTAACACTATAAAATCACACTAAAATTGTGTGTTATTTTGTAGTCATCTTTGGTTAGTGAATTAGTGGCAAACATGTTACAATATTTGTAAGCTTTGAGGTGCATTATCTTTTCCAAATATGATTTCATATATTACTTTTAATTAGCAAGTAGGGCTAATATCTCAAAGCATATTTTTGTTTCTTCTAGATAAATTATTTTGTTTTGTTATCTTTGAGATTCATTTTAGGACTAATTATCTATTTGTTATTATTTTTCTTGACTCTTGTATATAGGATGAAATGAAATCATCCACAGATGGAGATTAATGGATTTTGAGCTATATATATTGATTATTCTTTATTTTTTTTAGGTGCTTAAGAAGTAATGTTTCTATTATATTATTTCCTTTTGAATTATTTATGTTTTGTCAAAAATGATTATATGTGTAGGAGGATTTATGATTAAATGCAATTTTCTCCTTATTCTTTATCTTTTTCTTCTTTTGCTAGATAATTTTTTAACTTATTTAGTCATATTTTGCAGATTATAGGAGATATATCTATAATGAAAATGGTTAGACATTCTTGCATAATTTGATTTTACTAGGTAAAATAATTTGATATGTCTAATATAATTACAACTCTTTCTTTGTTGAAATCATACATTTAATATTATTTGTTTGTGTTTGTGAAGGTATAAATCCTGAGTTTTTTTTTAAAAAAATATTTAATTTATTCTCTTTAGACCTCTATGTAATTCTTAGATAATTTGATTATATTATAATGATAACACTCTTCAAAAAAAATTGTTTGTTCAGGTAAATTCATCTCCCACTTTTTTGTTGATAATATTAGTTTATTGTGTTTGTGGGGTATAATATTTTAAAACATAGAAGCAGGAAATGAGTAAATGAATATCGATATGCTACTTAAAGAAATGCGTGCATATACTTCCATAGTCCGGTGGAGCAATTTTTATTAACAAAAATGATAAAACATGAGAATGTAAAGTTAATTTATAATTTTGAAAATACAGTTTGTTTTATTAAAAATAAATTATTTATTAATGTGTAAAATTGCAATCTTTAAATTTTTCATTTTTGTTGTTTTATGAGAGATTTCAAGTTGTTTATTAATAAGTCAAGTTGCAGTATTTATATTTTTCATATTTGTTGTTTTCTAGGAGTTCTCAAGTTATTTTAAAATTGTGATTAATTTATAATTTTAAAAATATAGTTGGTTTCCTTACTTTCTATTTACTTATAATAAAATATTTGTCTCAATAACTCTAATTTGATTGTCTTTTCATTTTCTAATGTTCTTTAGTAGTGTAATAATATACAAATATTACTCCTATTATGTTACAAACAAGTCCAAAGCCACATTCTTAATCCTCTTAATTATTGTGACTCTTTATTCTTAGGAATTTATTATATTGAATGTAATAATTATTTAAAATGTGAAATATACTTTTTAATATTTTTGTGTTTAAGCCAAGCAAAATTAAAAGAAATAGGAATTTGTATGTGTCATTTTTTTGATTTTTTTTTTGCGTAGTTAATTCTCTCTTTTGTTCTCTTTTATGTTTATTTTTAAATTTTACATTTTTTTGTTTTCCCAATATAAGTTGTCCCAAAAATAATTGGATATCTAAACCTAACTAAAATAATTATATATTAACATATGGAATCTAACTAATTAAGATTGTTATTTTTCATCATTTAAATATGTAAAAAAAATTATTTAAAATTTAATTATTAAAAAGTTATTAATCAAATATTAAATTAATCTAATATTGTACAATAAAAATAAATTAAAACATGTGATGATTGGGTGATGACGACGACAAGTAATAGTAATTGTGGATAATAATTAAAAATAGTGTAGGCTAACGATATAGTCATGAATAATAACTATTAATGGCAATCTGAGTTACACATTGGCAAAAAATTATACTAAGAATATAATTAAAAAGATTACAAAGAAGCAGAAAAGAACGACCAGATTTCAAGTTTACATAAATATATATAAATTATACTAAAAAAGATCCCAAATTAAAAAGAAAAAAATGATCACATCTCAAGTTTACATTTCAGTAGTTCTAATATTACTTTCTCTTTTTCTCTATGAAATTTATTTTTAATGTTTAACTTTCCGAAGTTCACATATATTGATTTCTTAATGAATTTCATATTTAACTTAATATTTTTCATAGCTTCTCTTCTATGAAATTATGTGATTAATAAAAAAATTCTTTTATTAAAGTAATTATTGATATTAGTATGTAACTTTATTTTAATTCTTTTCATAACCGCGCGAAGCGCGGTCAAGTACACTAGTAAAAAGAATAATAACAGTTATAGGCCCGTGGCTTGCACGGGCACCGCATATCTAGTGTGTATATGCATAGTATAAGATGCTAGAAGCACACAACTAGTCATCAATATGTGCTCCAGCTGTGTGATTCTCCTCAAATTTGGCTGCTTTGCCTTCTGGTTACAGCAACCCTTTCCAATTGAAAGGTCGCAGGTTCGAACCCGGGCCACAACTCTTTTTATTCCTGAATTTTTAGTTCAGCCAATTTACTCATTTATTGCTTTTTGGCGGGGCCCAATTTAATCCTCTCTTTTTTTTTTAATGTGTTCTCATTAATTAAAATGTATGTTTCATCATTTATCTTATTTAGTGTTAATTAAAAAAGAATATTTCGTATTACATAAATTTCATATTTTAGTTATTCCATCTTCTCTGTAACATAAAAGAAATTTAATTTTTAAATGTCATCGAAAATATTTTGTTTTATACCGTTAATTATTAATGTTATGATGATGATGATTATGATGATGATGATGATTATTATTATTATTATTATTATTATTATTATTATTATTATTTAAGAAAACCTTATTTGCATAAGCAAATTTTTACTATAAAAAAACATACCAAATAGGTACTACTTAGTAAGTAATCCGTTTAATTATTTTATTTCTCCATCTTTTTATGTGTAAATCATTTTTTATTTATAATTAATATTATTAGTAGAAAAGAACATATGTCATTGAATTTAAAAAATTAAAAGTGCCACAAATAAGACAACTTCAAATTTTATCCGTGCTACATAAATTGAGGCATAGTGAATAACATATTATTTAAAAATTATGTCAATTTTATAAGTCACAATAACTAACCACTTAATTTTTTTTTATAAAATATATATTAAAAAAATGAGTAACTCTCCAAATTTTATTTGTGCCACATAAATTACGAAAAAATAAATAATATATGTTGAGCCCGTGCTGGCACGGGCTCACGTATCTAGTATATATATAAGTATTATATAATTTTAGATATAGAAGATATACTAAATTGGATGTATAAATAAGTATTATATAATTTTAGATATAAAAGATATATTAAATTGGATGTATAAATAAGTAGTATTATATAATTTTAGATATTAAAGATATACTAAATTGAATGTTTTAAGTTGGAGATATTATTATAATTTAACTTTCAAGGGAGTTCATGCATATATATACATACACTTGCATCGTTGCAGTTGGCTCTGTTTACTACATACTGGTGTGGTCAGTCATATGGTCCATTAAAAAATGTTATTTTGTTTCACCCATTTCACAGGAGATCTTTATGTCAAGACCTGAATATGAACTACGACAAGGAAAATAAATCCTTAGAAAGACAAACATTGGATTGTTTTTGTGTAACATATCCCTTTTTTTGAAGATCATTGCTTCCTCCATTCCATATTAACTTAAGCTTTGAATTATTTTTTATTTTTTAAATTAATTTAAGTTTTCAATCTTCAAGACTATTTTTAAAATATTCTTCCAAATTTACCCTTTTAAGTTAGTATTGGAGTTAGTTATTATAATTAATGTTTAGTTATTTTTGACAATAATTAATAAGAGTAAAAATGGAAAATTATGTTCAATTTATGTTCTAACCTACTTTTCTTAAAGGGTGTGAAACACCTCAAAGCTTAAGTTAATATGGAATGAAGGAAGTAGTATTTAACACAATCTTTGTAGGTCATATTCTTCTATTTAAGTTTTAAGCCATTTTAAAATGGATACTTTTTGAATCCTAAATATCAAAAGGGACACACTCTAAAATTACACGTCAAAACGGACAACACGCCTATTTATGGGTGAATTATAACTACACCATCCACGTGCTACCTATGTTGGAACTTGGGTATGCTACGAGTACGCCACAAACCACAAGCGCTAGTAGTGCAAAATATCCAAATGAAGTTTAAAGAAACACAAAATCCATTTGGCAAAATTAGCCTACAGCAACTCTCATCGCTAGCATAACATTTGTTCTTACGTCACCAAATTTTCAGGCAGGTGTACGAATGGCCTAAATCAATATTTTTATCTTTAACAACTAATACCCCTATAATAATGAATTTGGTACAAAAAAGGGGGCAGCATCCAGCCTAGTACTATAATAAGTATATCATTCAACTTAAGATGTGACTATGTTTAATCTTTGGTGTCATCCTCCTTTTGCTGTATAAAATCTAACTTCTTACAGCTGCAGGCTGTTAGCAGGTTATCGGTTTGAGGTTGCCGAGTTCTTATTAACCAAATCAGCACCACTCACGTATCTAGCAAAAAAGGATATCAAACGGAATGGAGCACCAATTAACGGTGCATTGGTGAGGGGAACCTCTTCCTCATACTGATCCTGATCCACACTTGTGACTTCTAAATCTGCTGACTGAACTTCATTCTCATCTAAAGGGATCTGCACGATTTCATCAGACTCGATTTCTGATGAATTTACAGCAATTCTGCTATCTATCTTACTCACATGCTCATCATCACTCACAGCTTTGTCAATGGTGTCTTTCAGAGATTGCAGCCTTTCACTTGACTGCAATACTGCTTCACTGGGTTGAGATTTTGGCTCTGTAGTATGGTCAAGTTCATGCTCGTGAACGGCTCCAGGAATCTTGTGTGACCCAAGGGCTGATTCATTGGCAATGCGAGCTGCCTCAGAGCTTGTGGTAATTACATCAGCACCTAAATATGAAGATACCTCCATTGGTGGACCTCTTCGTTCAAGCTTCACATATAAATTTTTCACCTAATATAAGAAATTACTGATTACCAATCCCGAACAGTATATCATAATATCTAAAATTCTAGCAATAAGAGAATAATAAGCTGAAACCTTCTCCACAAGCTCCGCATTTTCATCAATCAGTTTGTCCACCAATGCTTGAGTAGCAACTACTTCAGAATTCAGATCCCCATTTTCAGGAGTATTCTTTATCAAGAGAAAGCAAAAATAGGTTATGGTATGTCAATTTGCAACAATGTGCTGTAAGTCTATATCAATCGTCAATATATATTGTCCATACATTTAAATTTATTTTGGTTATACCCCAAATTGACAGTGAACTTGTTGTGTGACTAGAATGCTTTCAGCACTTTAAAATACATGCTGGGAGTGACTACAGTCAACATATTAAATGTGTTTCATGACAGAAAAGACCACCTAATACATTAAGTGCCATTTTAAATTGTATTGATTTATATGTTGTGAGAATTATAAGAGGAAAATTATTATTGAATTGTACATCTACATTTTTACTATGAGCCCTATTTATATACACTACATTACAATTATTTTCTACCTAGGATATTATATAAAAATCGTATCCATATTCATATTCCTATTCTTACACTTCTCCTCAAGCTGGTGCATACAAGTCATATTTACCGAGCTTGTTATAGACATAGGACTAGTGAGGGGCTTGGTGAAAATATATGCAAGCTGATCACTTCACTTCACAAATTTTGTAACATCACTGGAGAGTATCTTTTCATCGACAGTGAGAATCAATCTCAATGTGCATAGTCCTCTCATGAAATACCAAATTTGATACTATATGAAAGGCCTCTTGGTTATCACACAAATTCCATCTGACTGATTTCTCCAAATTTTAGTCCTATGAGCAACTATTTAATCCAAACTAGCGAACAAGTTGCTATAGTCATTGCTTGATCGTCTGCTTCTGCACTAGATCGAGCAACCGCTTTGTTTCTTGCTCCATGACACCAATAAACCTCCTATTAAAACACAATATCCGGATGTAAAACATCTATTAGATGGTAAATATGGCAATGTTTCCATATTTTTCTTGCTCCTTGTTTCGCAATCCCAATTCCTCAAGGATTCCTTCTACGCACTTGGAATCCGCGTTGGTTTTGATCAACAGTGTCTTCCAGTCCACTATGAAGGACCTGGTTCCTTCATATTTGTAATGCACTTCTTGATAGCAGTTCTTTGTTGTGATCATGCTCAGGAACTGGTTCTTCCATTGTTTGTTATGTTTTGCTACTCGTTTTTTAATTATCTAAACCCCATATTGTTAGCCTTAGCTCATAGCACTCTAGTCTCTAGCTCACATTGCCCTCCCTATCACCTGTAGCTCATGACACTCTCAGCACAACAAAGTCATTTATGACATATCAAGTAAACTACAGTCTTATGTTATCAATAATGATCTCTTTTTAATAAAAATATTTTAAAGCTCAACATGTTTAACTATAATCTCAATCTTCATACAAGTCATGATGTGGTATGAGGTTGGCCAGCCAAATCAATAGTGTGCTACTTTCTATCACTCATGGAAATAGAAATGAATGAAAACAGAATATAGGACCAGGTTAATCTGCAAGAGAGAAATAACAACTGACCATTTCATGTCCAATTGGTAAACAAGGAGGTCTGGCACTCTTCTCGAGATTATAGACTTGTGTCTGCAGTACTTGTATATTTGCTTTCAGTAACTGATTTTCTTGTAACATATTGGTCCTCAACTCTTCGAACTCCTTCACCTGCCAGGCTTTGATTTTAATTTCCATGTTAGGAATTAACGGAAGCAATGATTGTCAATTTTTCTATGGGTTTTGACATCAACAGCCATAATAAGGAGAAGATGTCAAAAATCAGGATACAACATCAGGAAAAGCAAAGCTTAAAACAAAAAACGTAGATGCCCAACTACAACTCCCAATGCCTTCTATGTGTAAAGATACACATTTGGTCAAGTAAAACAAAACATGTCGACAATTCTTTGAAAACTAACATCACAATTTGTATCCATTAAGAGAGTTACACCCTGATATGATTGCCGAACTTTTCAAACCAAAATTCCAATGTGGACAAAGAAGAACACTCTTCTCAGTATACTTGAATTCTTAAAGGAGGCCATGTCCGCTAGAAACCATTTATTTGTCATGTTCTTTTATGAAACACCTGCAATTGGCTATGTTAGCAAACCAAGAACACATTATATTATAGACACTAAAAGCCAAATATGCAGGTTGATAACAGTTTGATGAGAAAAGTTCAGTCCAGAAAAACATGATACATTTTTGTCGCTGGGACTGCATACCTGCGTCTCTAAAAGTGCATTATCACCACTTAGGCTGGAAATTATTTCTCTGAATGACTTCTGCAAAAACAAGAAGAGACTACGGCTTGAACTTACTGAAGCATTTGACAACAACTAGTCACTTAATAGATAAAACTAACAATTAGGTTATGTGCCCTGTTATTTATTTCTTTTTATTTTGAGAAACGGGTATCAATGCAGACCTAGCTAAAGATAGGGCACAGTGGGGAAAAAAAGATCCATATAGGTGATAGCTACTAGTTGAGGATAGATTTTTGACTTGTTAGAGATTGTTGTTGTTATTATTCTTGTAGTTTTTTTCTATCATATTTATATGCAAATTTAACTTATTTTCCACATTTTTAATTGAGTATGATGATGATATAATTTTGAGCTTAAATGAAAGTGGGGAGTCATATAGTTGACACTCGACCCCAACTTGTTTGGGATTGAGGCATAGTATGAAAAAAGAGCAATGCATTGATCATCTCCAACAATTGACTTATAAATAATTTAGCAAAGGAAAATCAAACAGATTTATCCATGCAGCTCAAACAAGTAAACTATTCTCTTTCTTTCTACTTGATTAGAAGTGCTAAGAGCCTACTAAGCTCAGTGTGCATGCCCAGAAAAGTCCAAGTGGCTGTGCAATTTTATTTTTTTTATGACAAGGGAAACCCGCAGCCGCTACCCTTTGGGTGCGCACAAGGTAAAACCCCCGCTCCTATGCAATAGCTCGCAAACCACATAGGAGAGGTAACCCGCACTAGGCAAGCCCGATGCAACGAGCTCGACCCAGAAGGCAAACCCCTTGCTTTCGCTGGAAAGGGGTTTCGAACTTGAGACCTCCAGCATGGAAGTCCCAAGCCCAAACCACTGGGCCACCCCGAAGGCAAACCCCTTGCTTTCACTGGCAAGTAGCTGTGCAATTTACTTCAAACTTACAAAGTGGTTGTGCTTGAAGTCACTGATATGCAATATACTTCAAGGCACGTTTACTCTCAGGTACCACCTTATTACCCACAGCCGTATTAAAGAAAACTCAGTATCCAGATTCCAGATAGATCAATACCACAGGTTTTCAACAAGGAAAATTTTACTGCCATTCACCTTTTAATTATCTTAGATTTTCATGATGAAGTAAGAGAATTTCATTAAATGGCATCAAGAACTCAACTTCTCATCTTAGCACATCCCAGTGACATTTTGGTTCAAATATACTGCCATTCAGCTTTTCATTATCTCAGTTTTTCATCTTTTTTTTTATTAAGTAAATGAATTTCATTAAATGGCATCAAGAACTCAGCTTCTAATCTTAATAGCACATCCCAATGACATTTCGGTTCAAATATACAGAACATGACTTGTTTGTTGTTCTTGTACCGTTCTACACTGTTTTCTTCTTCTTAGTACTCAAATGTGTTGCACTTGAGCCGAGGGTCTTTCGGAAACAACCCTCCCTACCTCCATAGGGTAGTGGTAAGGTCTGCGTACACTATATCCTTTCCAGACTCCACTTGTGGAATTTCACTAGGTATGTTGTTGTTGCTGTTGTTGGCTTGGTACAGTTAAACAAAAAATGTCACTTGATGGAAATCAAGAAAAGTACAAGTTGGATAGCAAAAATGACTTTTTCAAATCTGTTAGGATGGAAATACAGAAGTTTCCTGTCATCATCCAGCAAGATCCACATGCATGAACATTAACAACAACAACATACCCAATGCAATCCCACAAGTGGGTCTGGTAGGGTTATGTAGCTTTATCCTACCTTGTGAAGGTAGATGTTTTTTCCAATAGATCCTCAGCTCAAGTAAAGTATATCAAAATCAAGTATGATGTGGAACTACAGTAGTGAAGAAGTCATGCTAAAAACAAAGGAGAACAGAACAGTAACAACAACAAACAGTACGGTAACTGAAGCAAAGGAAACAACATGTAATAAAATAGGAGGGTAGTAATAACAATACTGATAGAGGAAACTTGACAACGCTCAATTACTTACTAAATTTCCACCCTACTTTGGCCTACCTCTCTTAATACCGACCAAGCCAACCTCTAACTCCTCCTCACTGGCATCTGTGCATTTCCTCTCACATGCCCGAACCATCCCAATCTCGCCTCCCTCCCTCAACTTGTCTACCACGGAGATCACTCCCACCTTATCCAAAATATCTTCGCTCCTAGTATGTCCACACATTCATTGCAACATCCTCATTTCCACTACTTTCATCTTCTAGACGTGCGACTTCTTGACCGACCAACACTCGGTCCCAAACATAGTTGGTCTAACAATCACTTTATATTACATACTTTTTCATCGCAGCATCCTCATTTCCGCTACTTTCATCTTTTAGACGTGCGAGTTCTTGACCGACCAACACTCCATCCCAAACATAGCTGGTCGAGGACCACTTTATAAAACATACCTTTAAGTCTTTGGTGACACACTCTTAACACATAAGCTACTAAATACGAGCCTCCATTTCATCAGCTCCAACACGATATGTAACATCATCATCAATCTCCTTAATTCCTTGAATTACGAACTCAAGATACTTGAAACTTCCTTACTTGGAGATAACTTGAGTATCAATCCTCACCTCCACATCTACCACGTGAGTTCATCAGTAAACTTGCACTCTAAGTACTTTGTCTTAGTCCTCAACTTGAACCCTTTAGGCTTCAAGGGTCTGTCTCTGAACCTCTAGCATATCATTAACTTTGTCGCATGTCTCATCAAGCAATACTATGTCAACTGCAAAAAGCATATTGTAATACCTCGTACATCTATGTTAACATGCAACTAGTCAAATGGCAAAGGATTGGTATGAAACCGAGAGATTAAGGATACAAATTGATAATTATGTTAAGTAACATATATATAAAGGTTGTTGAAGTGTTAACCCAAGGTTTTAGCCCAAGGGAAGCCTTCAAACAAAAGTTCAAGTCAAAGGATCCCCTGTGGAGGGTCACTACTTCAAGTGATCCAGCATATTGTTTGCTTTAAACAAGCAGATCTCCCAATAGATGGAGAGCTAACCAATCAAATTAAAGGTCTTTGAGTCTAGTTTAAAAAAAAAACAAATCGCTCGTCCATCCAAGTTCTATATCAAGAATTATGCAAGTTTGAAGAAGACATTGTTTGCAAAATTTCCATTTATGTTTGACTCTCATGTTCACAACTAAGTCAACGTCAACAAGATTATTTGAGCTTGGAAAAAGGTGATTACAATTGAGCCTAAAGTCTAAGTGTTCAAGTGTTCAAGTGTACAAAAAGTGAAGGACTAGTTGAAGGGATTAAGCTTTGGAAAGCAAAATAAATGCAGGACAAAGTAACCTACTTGTTTAGACGTCCTACTTGTTCGAGCTACTTTCTTAAACGTCCTACTTGCTTATGAGACGTACGTGCTTAAAGATAACTAATGTGTCACTTGTTTTATTAGGCAAACCCATGTGACAACATATGGTGAGGGTCCCACTTGAAATAATTTTCTCTAAAGAAAACAAGTAGGTACATCACCTACTTGAACAATGAAAGACCCAAATTAATTGGGCCAAAGGGATATGGGGCGGGTCGTTGGGTCAAGCCCAAGACCCATCTGCCAAAAGGTGATATATATCTATTTACTTAGACCAAATATCATATTACTCACAAAGAAAATTTCATTAGTCTCTCTATCTCGATTGTGACTTTCTCTCCAAAGAAGGCTCTTGAATTTTCTTCTTCTTTCACAACCCCTAAGGTAAGTATTTTGTATGTATTTCACGTAGTTTTAACTTGTAAGGGAGTGGGAGAACTTGTGGTTACATGTTGAGAAGCTTGAGGCAGCCTTTAGAGAAAGAGTTCCCTACGCCGCCCATATTGGTGAGATGTTGTTCTCAAGTGTTTTCTTCTTGTCTTAAGGTTTTGTTTTGAAGAAAACTGTTTGGTGTTGAAGATGTCAAGTTAAGAGATTGTAAGTTCCAGCAAATTTGAGGTAAGGTTCTGGTATATCTGTCACGTGTTTAAAAGGAAAACAATTGGCTACAATATGGCCTGCACTTAAATAGATCACATAGTGATATGATTCTTAAGCTAAACCAAGTACTTGATAGACTAGAATATATATTATGTTACTTGTGAGCAACATAAAGATCCTCACTTGCTTATGTGAAAGATAAAGATGGTAACTCACTTGTTAATTTGTTATAGGCTTTGTAAATATATGATTAAGACCTACTCTAAAACGATGGGTGGGTATTCATAGGTCCACTTCGCATACGAAGTGATGCGAATTTTGTGCACAGGATTGAGACAGACCGCCCTTTATGGCATATGTGATAGATAGTAGTCAACTGAAATGTCATGCACTGGTTCCCCTGGTTCCCTAACTAAGACAATATATGGCCTACAAGCTTACGGGCAGACCCTTTATTGGAGCCAGGGGAAGATGTACCTTACAGCAAATTGCGATAAACACTTATCAACATCATGCAACTTATGTGATTTGGCAATATATCTCTTACATGTGTCATAGATCACCTTTGGAGGCCATCATGTGATTACTTGTATACTTGGACTACAGATAGAGGTAGAACATCACCTAGGCAAACTACTACATATTATATATTAAAGAAATAACTCAAGCGATGTTATATGAGAATTTCTAAGGTTGGTTATATTCCGTTATAAGTTACAGCTTCATATTATACTTTAAATATTCATATCGTTCATGTGCTAAAGATTTCCCTAAGAGGCTTATCTGTTCATTGTTACAGGTAGCCTTTAAAGGCCTATCATTTGATCACTTACAGGGATAAAACACATAGCATATCTCATGTGTAAATCTACCACTTGTTAACATTTTAAGCAACAATCGAAATACATTTTACTTAAGTTTATAAGGTTATCCATAAGATAAAGTTTTAGACAAAAAGGGTTCTGATGTTCAGTTGTTTATAGTTGCTCATCTTATTCTTTGATTCGTTGAGCATCCTCATGTGTCTACTTATTATTCATGGAAATGCAGGATCAGGTATACAGGTTAGTAGAATCCCGCAGTAGTCTCTTGTTGCATACTCAGCAAAGTAGCAAAGTATCGGTGAGCTCCATTATCACCTGGAGGTAATAGGTGCCTAGTACTACTTAGATGTTCTTATAGTTATAGTTGGGTATGTTGAGGCCCTGTCCCAACCATTTAATAAGGTACAGTTAAGAATTCCATTAGAGGCTTCATAGACATTGTAAAATTGTCACCTATGATTATAGTTTCATTTGTCCATCACATCAGTATGGCCAGTTGGTCAGTGTTGCATAGGTACGGTTCCTCATTATTTGCCTCATGTATAGATATTCATTTGTATAGCAGGTGTTCATACTGTGCTTTTCCGCCCCGTCCAAGCTTGGGCGTGACATATATACCATGGCATCTTTGGATATGTCGCGTCAGTTCATCCATTACCAAGGCAAAAACAAATGGGCTAAGAGTTGATCCCTGGTGCAACCCCATCATTGCCTGGAAAGTGCTCGAGTCTCCTCCAATTATCCTCACTCGATTCTTGGCTCCTCATACATGTCCTTAATCACCCTAATGTAAGTTACAGGCACACTTATAGCCTCCAAACATGATCAATGAAGTGGTTGAGAACCCTAAGGTCTTAGGTTCAACACTCAACGGAGACAAAAAATACTACATCTGTCTTAGCTTTGGTGGACAGAGTTACGTAGTATCTGTTGTTGGTGGGAGGTGGCAGGTATCCTATGAAATTAGTCGAGGTGCTTAAAACGGACACCGCGGTTTTAAAAAAAAAAAAAGAACCTCCCCACGAACTTTGTTGTATGCTTTTTCTAGGTCAATGAACATCATATGTAAGTCCCTCTTCCTCTCACTATATTGCTCCATCAATCTACTTACGGGATGAATGGCTTCTGTAGTTGACCTTCGCGGCAGGAATCCAAATTGGTTCTCGGTAATAGACACACCCTCCTCAGCCTCATCTTCACCACCTTCTCTCGAACTCCCGGAGTGTGGGTTAGTAGCAAAATACCCCTATGGTTGTTGTAATTTCGAATGTCACCCACATGAATGAACATCATAAATTGCATTTCCAAAGTGTTCTTTGTCACTTTTGAGGTCATCAGTTGTCTAGTCATGATTCCTTCTTGCATGTTATTTTGTCTTTTACTCCCTTTACAGACTGACGGCTTCATTATCAATAAAAAATACAATTCTTCTTACTAGAAGCCATACTTTATATGTCATCAAGTATTCAAAACGATGACTTGAATTTTGTTCACTGTTTTTTTAACAATTCCTTTGGTATCCGTTCTGTTTTTATTAAGCAATTATATCTATGAGCATTTAATTGAAGCCAGATATATTTTATGAATATGTTTCCTCTAAATTGCCAAGCATCTTAAATCATATGCATAGCAGGTCATATTGTTCACCTATCTATTAAGCCCATCATATCGCTACTCGTGAAATATCCATAGCAACTTGACAGATGCATAACATGATTCGATTCAATAGGGCAGCCTAAAGCACTAAGCTCCCGCTATGCATGGGTCCGGAGAAGGGCATGCAACCCAGAATAGCTAGCTTGCTAAATTCTTGTTATTACTTGACCGCAACTGAAACAATATACATTGGTCTCAGAATAGAGGATGTTAGCAACAAAGCCCACTCAAAACTACACGCATTAAGATATAAGAAATTACCTCCTTTTGGACCCAGTTCCCTCTTTCCTTCTCCGTCTCTTTTACTTTTTCCTCCAAGCTCACCTGATATTCATGCCAAAGTTATTCTCAGTCTTTATTTTGACCAGGACAATTATCAAAGAGAACACAAATAAATTGCTTATCAGCATGAATGTAGACAGGTATGAGACTGAAGTCAAAAGCAAGAAAAAAACTCCACTATAAAGTGAAAGAATAGCAGTGAAATTAATTTTTTTACCATCGTTGAATTCGAATTTTCCACTTCATCCACCAACAGACTTATTCTTTCCTCCAAGCTAACCTGCAAGGATGAAGTTATTAGACCAAATCTATTCCATCTCATGAATCCTGCTCTACAAAGCATGCTAGCTTCTAGTTATTTCTTTTCCCCACATGGAACCAAAAACAAAAATAAGGAGAAACAAAGGACGAAACAAAAACGAAAAGTATCAGTACAGTCGATATTAGGAACAGTTCCCTGTCAAAGTTACTAGTATTAAAATAGGAGAGAGATTACCTCCTTCTGGACCTTGTTTTCTGTTTCCTTCTCCATCTCTTTTACTTTGTTTTCCAAATTGACCTGATATTCATGCTAAAGTTATTCTCAGTGTTTTGGGAAGCGAAAAGCGGAAAAAAGCAACGAGGGCTCGCGAGCAAGAAGCAAAGCGCGCACTTTTTTTATGTAAAGCGATATTTAGTATAAAAATAAAAAATATTAAATAAACTAGTTACAACTTTACTAGTTACTACAAGCAAAAAAGAAGTGTAACTTAGTAACAAAACAACAAATAAACCAAGTAAGAAAAATAAAGACTATTAAGAGCAGCAACCAGCATACGTGCATCACTGATCACAGTCACACTGTATAGAAATAAAAAAAAAACAGAGCAGTAATAGAATTGGAAAAAAAACAAAGCAGTAATAGAAATTGAAAAAAACAGAGCAGTAATAGAGATTGAAAAACAGAGCAGCAATAGAGATTGAAAAACAGAGCAGCAACAGAAATTGAAACAAAAAAAGCAGCAATAAAATATAGAAAAAAACACAGCAGCAACAAAATAGAAAAAAAACAGTAGCAGAGCAGTCAGCCTCACAGAGAAGAAGAGAAGAAGAGAACTTACAGCAGTGGCAGCCTCGCAGCAATAAAAAATATAGAAAAAAACACAGCAGCAACCAAAAATAGAAAAAAAAACATTCGCAGAGCAGTCGCAGCCTCACAGAGAAGAAGAGAACTTACAGCAGTCACAGCTTCGCAGCAGTCCAAAGAAAATATTTGAATTCGCGAAAGGAGGTATTGAGAAGTCGTGAAAGAAGATTTCAGAAATTTAAAAAAAAACCTTCAATTTTTTTTAAAAAAAAACCCTAATTAGCGCTTTTTCAAATTAAGCGCGCCTTTTCTCGATTTTTCTTTTCTTGCGCTTCTCGCTTCAACTGTAGAAGCGATCGCTTTTTGAATGTCGCCTCGCTTCAGGGAAGAAAAGCGCAAGGGCTGCGCTTCACCTTGCCTTGCGCTTTAAGCGCGCTTTTCCTCGCTTTTTATAACACTGGTTATTCTAGTGAAAGTTTTTGAACCAAGCAAATTCTCAAGGAGAAGTACCACTATATTGCCACAATACATGAAGATAAAAGGTATGCAACATGTTAGAATATGAATAGGTTTATACAATCCTATTAGAATAGGAATAGGTTTATACAATCCTATAAGAATAGGAATAGGTTTATACAATCCTATTAGAATAGGAATAGGAATAGAAATAGAAATAGGAATACTAAATAGTATCCTACTTGGTAAAGGATTGTATTCTAGGGTCTATAAATAGGGTCTCAATGTAATACTGTAAAAACAACAATTCAATAATATTCTTTTCCTATATTTCTCACATGGTATTAGAGCCTCTACGAACTTGGTAGAGAATTAAAGAGCTTCCGCTGCCGGCGGGTGGCACCCATATATGCTGCCCGTCTGGCCAATGATTATGTTAGCAAAAGTTGGGTCACCGTGTATCTATCTGGTGACTATTTTCTCACATCTAATTTGTGTAGCACCGTGCCATCATTCCGGTGACTACTTTCTTATATCTAATTTGTGTAGCACCGTGCCATCATTCCAGTGACTACTTTTTCATATTTAATTTTTGTAGCACCGTGCCATCATTCTGGTGTCTACTTTTTTGTGTAGCACTGTGCCATCATTCCAGTGACTACTTTTTCATATATAATTTGTGTAGCACCGTGACATCCTTCCGTTGACTACCTTTTTTTTTGCATATCTGATTTGCGTAGCACCGTGCATCTCTCCGGACTACTTTTCATATTTAATTTGTGTAGTACCGTGGATTTTTCCGAACTATTTTGTCATATCTGAGTTGCATAGCATCATGTGTCTTTTCAGTGACTTCTCAGATTTGATTTGCATAGTTCCATTCGTCTTTCCGGTGACTCCTCAAATCTGATTTGCGTAGGGTTGTGCCATCATTCCAACCCTACCCATATTATTTCTCTTTTTCAATAGGGTCGTTCCATCAATTCGAACTATCCTATATTATTTCTATTTTCTAGTTGGGTTGTGACATCATTCCGACCCTACCCATATAATTTTATTTCTTAGATTGTGACCACTTTTAGCCATCAAATCTAATACTCCGGCATATGAGCATGTTCTGGCCAGTTTTTTCGGTGACTTGTTTAATATCGATTGTCTATTGATTCCAACATGAACCATGTACTTTATACTAGATTTTGAGCACTTACAATGTTCGCTGCATTGTGAAGAAATCTATATGGAGCAACCACCTAATGTTGTTGCTCAGGGGGAGTTTAGTAGACTTGTATGTTGATTACGTAAGTCACTCTATGCTCTGAAACAGTCTTTGCAAGCTTGGTTTGGGAAGTTCCAACACTGTAATTTTATCACTCTGTATTTTATCGGCATTATGCATCAAATTCAGTATTTCATGAGAAGACCAAGCACATTGAGATTGATTGTCAATTTTGTGAAGTCGAGTGATCAACTTGCATCTCACCAAGCCCCTCATCGGTCCGCGTGTTAATTACATTTGTAACAAGCTAGGTACATGAATTGTATGCACTAGCTTGAGGGGGAGTGTTAGAATATGAATAGGTTTATACAATCCTATTAGAATAGGAATAGGTTTATACAATCCTATAAGAATAGGAATAGGTTTATACAATCCTATTAGAATAGGAATAGGAATAGAAATAGAAATAGAAATACTAAATAGTATCCTACTTGGTAAAGGATTGTATTCTAGGCTCTATAAATAGGGTCTCAATGTAATAATGTAGACACAACAACAATTCAATAATATTCTTTTCCTATATTTCTCACACAACAAAACTCAATGGCATGATACACCCCCATGATCAAGTGAAACAACAGAAGCACATAAAAATTAAACTTCAGGATTCATTACCCTCTTTGAATTCAACTTCTCCACTTCATCCACCAACTCATTATTTTTTTTCTCTAAGCCTGCCTGTAAGGAACAAGGTATTACGCTGGAACTTACTGCAGGCCTCAAGAGAAAATCTTAAAATTGCAGAAAATGCGGTTAAGGATATGACACTGAATTGCTTATAACCAGTGATGGTAAAACAAAATGATAATCTTATGAAAAAAAAACTTGGTTCTGTTATACAAGAAAATTTATTTGCCAATATGGGATTATCACCTCCTTTAGAAGCCAGGAATTCTTTTCACTTTGTAACTGGGAATTCATCTCAAATTCAGCCTGAAAATTACAGAGAGCATACTTCTTGTCATGTAGATCTAAGCTTTAAAGAGTCGTTGTGGAAGTAAAAGTACAATAAAAAGAGACTGGCAATGGCATCTAAAAAATATCAATTTGGTGTCCTAAATGCAATATATCTTTGAAAACTTCCACAGAAGTAGAAATGAGAATGGCTAAAAGTTTTAGTACCTCTTTCTGCAAGTAAACATCCTTCTCCATATGCAATTGTCTTATCTTTTCTTCTTGGTTAGCCTGCAAAAGTCCAAAAGGTCACTGATTGCTGTAGAAGGACCATTGACCAAACAAGGAAAGAATATTTTAGGTGGATAATACGTTCCAGAAAGCACAACTATTGTGATAGCAGTATGCATCTATCCATTTTTTCCCATTACCTCTTGCCTCCTGAGACTGCTAATTTCATCTTGCAATTGCATGATTTTCATCTCAAAACTAGCCTGTGGATCACAGAAGAGCGTAAAACTCAAAATAGATAGGATAAATAGGACAAGACATTTAAAAAACACAGCACTGATTTTGCATACTCTGTGCACGTAGCAGCATGGCAAACCATCAGACTTCGAAATTTAACCGTACTTGAACAATTCATTTTTGGAAATGAAACTACATAAAGCGAACAACACACAAGAAGGACAACACAGTTTTCCCCACATTTGAATAATGAGAGGATACTCTTAATATTTGGTCAAAATCACTTTGTTTTTTGACTGTGCCTGCTTTCAGACAGAGGCAGAACTAAAATACCTCTTTATGCAGATGACTGTTATTTTCATTCTGAAGTTGTTTAATCCTCTCGTTAAAGTTAGACTGCACATCAAGGTAAATCCGCAAGATTAGGAGTGAAAATCTTAAAAAAATTGATTAGGCACCAACCACTGGCCTATGAGTTAGCAAGTTGCAGGTTTTTACATGCAAATTTTGTGTGTAGTTTCTATTACCTCCTCCTTCAGTAAACTGGCATCTTTTTCCCGTGAGAACTGTTTAAGTTTCTCCTCAAAGATAGCCTGTAAAACAGCAGTAACTTTTAAATGTTTCAATTAAAATGTAGATAGAAAATATATATGTGATTCCATGCAGATGTAAGCTCATTTAAAGGCTACACAAGCAAAAGGTTTACAGCATTATACCTCCTTTTGCATATGTGACACTTTGTCCTTCTGTAATTGTTTAATTTTCTCTTCAAAGGCGGCCTGTCCATAAAATAGAGAAAGCAATGACTTGTCATGAGTTATACAATAGACAGATAAGAGAGAGGGGAAGAGAATACAATTATCATAAAATGATGAGCCCATAACTGAATATAGCTCAGCAGCTGCTAAAAGAGGAGGCCTTAACTCACCTCTGTATCCATCCTACAGTGTTTCTCATTCTCGGCTAAAGATGACTGTAAAAGCAAGAATGTCAAAAGAGCACATATCAGAAAGTATCAAGGACCTTAGATGTTTACAACAAGGCCTCAGTCCCAAAAATTGTTGGGTTTGGTTATATGAATCTTATTTCTTCATTTAAACTCATTTTGTAGCATCATCATACTAAATAAAATAAAAATATATTAAATATGTCTACAACTAATAGTTTAATAATAATAATAATAATAAATAAATAAATAAATAAAAATTATAATAATACTATAATATTAATAACACTAAGACTTATTTTGAACTACTCCTTCTGTCCCAATTTATGTGATGTAGTTTGATTGGGCATGGAGTTTAAAGAAATATGAGAAGACTTTGCAATGTTCCAAAATTACCCCTTAAAAAATGAATTTTTACATAGAAGAGTACACCTTTTGTGGACTTTTTGCCAAATAAGTGAGACCCAACATGGGTTTAATGTTGGTAACGTCAATATTTGCCAAATAAGGAAATGTGTCATTCTTTGGGACAGATATCATATAAATTGGGAAAGGGGGGAATAGTAGTTATCACCTATATAGGTCTTTTTCTTCTATTGTGTCCTATCTTTAGCAAAGTCTGCATTGACACAAGCATTTCAAGACAACTTCCTTCCATGTGATTTTAGGTTTACCCTGTCCCTTTTTACAACTTTCACTTACAATAGTTCACTCCTACGGACTAATACATTTGTAGGTTGATGCAAAACATGTCCAAACCATCTCAAGCGACCTTCTCACATTTTATTCTCAATGCATGTGACTTGGACCTTCTGGCAAATGTGTTCATTTTTAATCTTATCTAATCTTAGTATGAGGATTCTCCGTCCTTTGCCTTTGGCAACTTCTTATAACACTATTTTAGCTTTAATAACTTTGTGTACCTCCTCATTCCACCACCAGAATTCCTTGGTTGAGAACCTAGACCTTTAGACATACCTAAAACTTTAGTTGCTATGTTTTTAATGCAAACTGACATTTCTTTCCACAAGATATCTAGGTCTCCCTCTAAGTCTCAAGCCCAACACCTAATTCGCGGTTGTTTGAAAGTTGCACCTTTCTCACTCTACTGTTAAGCTTTCATCTAAGACTACTAACCAATGTTGGGTGTATGAAGGTTTAAGACATAGAAGAGAAAGACAGTTTTATTCACGTACAATATGCTCTTTTGAAAATACTGATCTGATAAGGCACAAACCACCAGAAGACCTAGAATACAGGAAACTATTAAAATCCTAAATACTACAAATGACTAACTATGTATACCATCAAATAGTTGTAATAAAGGAAGCTAATCACAGACTCCTAAACTGAAGGGTAACAGATGTTATCTGTTAAGACGCCCCGCAAGTTAGGGTGACTGGAACAAGCACCAACTTGTGAAAATGGCGCAAAAAAGTTGTACGTAGAAAGGCTTGGTGAGTACAACAGCGACTTGATCAACAAGAGTGAATGTGACGAACCTCAAGTGCATTTTGTTGAACTTGCTCATGAACAAAATGGAAATCAGTGGCTACATGCTTCACCCTACTATGAAAAACAGGATTAGCACAAATGTAGGTGGTGCTAACGTTGTCACAGAAAACAGTTGGTGAAGAACACAGTGATAGGTGGACTTCAGAAATGGCAGCAGCAACAGCTCGATACTCTGCTTCGGTAGATGAGAGTGAGATAAGACTTCTGCATTTTGGAAGACCAAGAGACTGGTGAATTACCAAGGTGGACAACACAACCTATTGTTGATGTTCTGTCTTGTGGATTTCCAAACCAATTAGAGTTAGAATAAGTGAGTAAACGGCCTATTAGTTGTCGACTTAGCTGGACTCCCAATGTGCTTGTGTGTTTCAGGCACAACAAGCGTTTGATGGCTTTCCCATTAGACATTTTGGGATTACGCATAAACTGAGACAACTTGTTCATAGCAAACCCGATTTCAGGCAGTCAGGCCTAGTGAAGGGTAAGTAGTGAAGCTTACCAATGATTTTTCTGTAAAGGGAAATGTCAACTACAGAATCAGCTTTTGAATCAACTAAGGTGCAGGTTGATGTCATCGATGAGAGAACACCCTTGCAATCAGCCATATGCAATTCATCAAAAAGATGCATGACATATTTTTGTTGAGACAAATATATGGCAGTTGGCGTGGATATCACCTCAACACCCAAAAAATAAATGTATGAGCCCAAAATCTTTTAGAGAGAATCATTGGGAAAGTGATGTAATTATAGACCTGCCACTTCTATGAATTTCTCGATATTCTGGTCCAAGACCAGTGAGAATATTGACAATGAGTTTCATCGTTGGTGACATGAGCTCCTGCAATCGCTATATCATCGCAGAGAGATCGTACTTGGTTGAGATAGTTTGTTACAAAGACTCTCTTTGGTGAGATGAGCGAGGTGATCTCACAAGCTGAAAATGCGAGTTTTCAACTTAGTGGCATATGCAGTATGGAGGGAATGTCAAGCTGCTTTGGCAGTGGTTACAACGGCTACAATGGACTTAAGAGTTGGATCTACTGATGCTAAAATTGCATTTGGGATCAATTGGTCCTGGCAAAACCAATTAAGATAATCTGGGTTGGCAATTGTCTGGTTGTTTGTGGTGGTGGTCTTGACATGAGCAAGGGCAGTCCCATCTAGATGTCCATAAAGATTGTGTCCTCTCATGAGCATGGACACTTGTGCCTTCCACAAGGAAAAGTTATGGTTGCCAGCAAGTCTAATCAGAAGCTGGGTAACTGAGTTGAATTGAACAATGGTGGTGGTGTTGGCTGCATCGGAATTGGTAACTGAGGGTGCCATTTGTGGTGGGTGAGTTATTAGAATTCTGTGAGGAGAATAAAAGCTCTTGATACCATATAAAGGTTTGAATTGTAGAAGAGAAGGATGATTTCATTCACATACAACAGGCTCTTTAATTCTTTATATAGAGCAGATACAGAATTGAAAATACTACCCTAATAAGGTACAAACTAACTTAAGACCTAGAATATAGGAAACTGTTGAAGTCTTAAATAGTATAAATAACTAACTACGTATACCAACAGTTAACTGAAATATAGGAAGCTAATAACACTCCTAAACTGAAGGGTAACATATATTGTTTGTTAATAGGTTGGTCAGCATTTCTCGTGGAATAACCTTACAGTCCTTGCATTTACTTTTCATCTTCTAACAAGGATAAAAATGAAAATGTATTGGACTATGGTTACACCCACTCTTATAAGTAATTAGGTCAGAATCTTTATTCTTAAAATATGTGTTAGCTACCACAAAATCACAAGCTAAAGAAAATTCTAAATAGTATCCGCTACGTCATTCCTAAAAACATAACTATAACCACCATGTACTTGTTCAAAGTCGTCGGTCTGTTGGTACATGGCTATTTAGTTCTCTACCTATAAGGATTTGTCAGCCTCCTGCCTCCTGGAATTCCTTGAACTAAGTTAGCCATATCCTCACAAAACTTAGCTTTAGCTTCTACATCTAATCTTATTTGCGGCACATAGGTACTATTAACACTGATTTTAAAATTTAAAGGTGAGAAGGCATTCTACATACGTTCTTTAATTATTTCTTCTCTCCACCAGGCAGCCCCAGTTCTAATCCTTCTCCTTTTAATTCTTTTTTCTCTCAAGACATTCAAATATATTTCCTTCCATTTTCTCTTTCCTTATTCTCTTCTTCCATGCACCCTTCCTATCATGAGTTTCTCCTATTAACTTCCACTTAGTGGAGAAAGGACCCTCTCTATTTCCAAACAAAATGAAGATCTAATTCCAGCTTGCAATAAAAATTTGACAAGTAAAGACTATCATCTATGGTTATAAATTCATGAGAAATCCGCTTACATTCACAGTTTAAAAGAGAACACTTTACCAGTAGGCATTGAATGTTGCACCTGCATTTGTTCATAAGGAAAAGAAGGAAAACACTGCTCTATGACAGGGCTTTCAAGTTTTCTGTACCAATTCACTTACTGATCGAGCATAAGGAAAACTAAATTCTGCAACTATGATTTCTTATTACACTTTCCCATTAATGATGCAGCAAAACTTAAAAAAAAATACATATTCAAATTACGAGGATTACTTATAGCATAAATCTTGAATATACAGAAACCCCATAATTGGGTTCAGAGAAGAGCATAAGCTATGTTGGACTGTGACAAAGTGAGTCAACATTTTGGGCTTTAAATCAACACTTTTTCTGCCCTTATCTAATCTCAACCATTAAGATGATCATGATGTGAAAAAGATAATCTTTAAGAATTGGACTCAAAACACACTCTCTCTCTCTGTCTCTCTCCTTCAAATATGTTTTCTAGTTCCTTTCTTCACGACCAACGCAACCTTTATTCTCTAACAACTCAACTTCTGAATTCAGTTTAGTTAGGAGCAAGAAGCTCATAATAGCATTTGATGATTACAACAATGTAACCAGTGGAATCTAGGGAGGTAGAGTGTACTAGACCTTACCCTACCTTGGGAGATAGTGAGGTTGTTTACAATAGACCCTCAGCACAATGAAAAGATGGCAAAGGAAAAATAATTGACAAAATATGCTGGAAAAAAAAAAATTGACAATAACTACAACAAATAGTAGGACAATTGAAGTACAAGAAACAACAGATAACAACAAAATTGAAGGACAAGAATTACTACTTAGCTAGGCGACGCACAACTGCGGACTAACCCTCTGCCCTAATGTGTGCCTTCAATAACCTCCTTTTCTAAGGTCATGACCTCGGTGAGCTGAAGTTGTATCATGTCTTGTCTAGTCTAGTCACTTTTCTCCAATACTTCTCCGGCCTACATCTACCTCTCCTAAAACCCACCAAAGTTATCCATGATGACTAATTCATCGATACATGTTTGGGGTCATTTAGACAAGGGCAACTTATCAATTAAATAACATCTATTTGTTGTACTTTTAGATCACCCAATAATGTTAAAAGTATGAATATGTTCTTTCACCAAAAAAAGAAATACAAACAAGAAGTGGCATGCAAAATCCATATATGGTTCTAGAAACATGACTCCTCTTAGATTTTTTTGAGAATGAAGAAACATGACTCCTCTTAGATTTGGAAAACAAATAAACCTTTAGTACCAGAATGATTTGGTTATAGAAGTTAACTTACGACTTTGGCACCCTCAGTATCATGTCTATTAGAATCGTCATCTATCCCCGAAGTATCATCAGTATGTGCTTCAGAACCACGTATTTCAGCAGGATAGTTCTGATTGGAGGAAGCGGATTCTTCTGCACCAACGGCATTATTTTCTATTCCTTTGGTTTGTTTATTCTTCTTTTTCTTGTTCTTCCTCTTCTTCTTCTCTTCTTCCATTGGCACAGGGCCAACAATCAAAACTCAGAAAATACTAATAGAACAGCACAGCCTACAGAAACCATAAAATATTATAATCAAGTATGACATTTCAAATTAGACACAAAATTAACATGCATTTAACATCTCTTTCTCATTAGAACTTGTGGAGCACCTCGCAAAATTAATCTAACTTTAGAATCAATCAATAAACTCTCCATCTGCTAAGGCATTTTGGAACCTTAAATTCAAATCAACTCATTTTTCAATTCAACGTGTAACTTCAACAATAAACACATAAAAACGAAAAACTTTGCATGTACACAGCTAAAAAGTTGCTAATTGCAACACTTGAGAATAAGAATCAACTTGAATTCAAATTTCAAAATGCTAAAAAAAAAAAAAAAAAAAGAGAGCATATAAGTCTCTTCCTTGTTAAACTTGTGAAGCGCCGTCCAGCATGAACCTGAAGCTTCGGACTAAACCAATAGACTATAGAATCAAATCCAAATCAATTTCATGTTTAAGATTAACCACCAAACAATGTGAAACTTCGAAAATAAAAGTTAGATCAACATTGCAACATCACACCTAAAATAATGTAAAAGTTGGATATTCCAGAATCAATTAGTAAACTAGCAATTAGAGAGAAGGCATTTTCGGAACCTTAAACGCAGATCAATCTCAAAATCGATCAGCAAACGAATGTTAAACTTCAAGTAGGACAACAGGAACACTAATTTCTTTTTTACTTACAGAAAACTTAATTTTCCTCTATATGAACATAGAAAATAAATTACATCGACAAGAAGGAGGTCAGATTAGCACAGCTAAATAAAATGCTTAATGCAAAAACAAATCAGATGAACATTTACCGAAAGAAGAGATCGACAAGAGATTGAAAGTGGTAAAATCCTTTGAGAAGACACCGTAAAGTTGAAGCGACTGAATTTGGGGTATGGGGTATGAGAGAGGGCAAGAGCGTAACGGCCAGGTGAATGGTCATTTTGGTAATTTTAGTTTATGTTCCAACTTTTTGCATTGCCTTGTCCTTCCAATCATCTGCCTACACGTTGCACTGTTTAACTCAGGTTCTCACAAGTCACATGAAAGAAAGTCAAAAGGCCTCAACAACATTTGCATAAAGGAAAAATTACATAAATCTCATAGTTTTAATATTAAATTACAATTATCCCTAATAAATTTCTAATTACACTAATCTCTTAAGAATTAAAAAAATCGGATACAATAATTGAAGCTCAGATACATTATATAATGTCTCGGATACATTAATATGTAGCTTAGATACATTAATATGTAACTCAAATACATTAAAAATTAGTACGGATACATAATATGTAGCTTAGATACATTAAATACTGGCTCAGATACATTGGAAAAAAAAAGGGATTTTGGAGTTTTAAAAGTAATGGGGGATAATGGAAATAAGTGAAACAAAAAGTGTGTATTTCTGTAATTTGCGCTTGCATAAATCTAAGAAGAACTTAGATAAATATTTTAGTTCTCTATAGTTTGAAATAATTTTATATTATCTCACTAGTTAATAACTTTATAACTTTTAGATATATCTAACTACATATATTTTTGTTATCAGATACATTCTGAAATATAGATACATAAGGAGAGAGGCGAGCGAGGTCAATGAGACAATTTGTTTATACTAGATACATGTGAATCATATTAGATACATGTGAATCACATCAGATACATGTATATGGTCTCAAATACATTCTAATATACAAATACATGGCGAGAGAGAGGTAGATATGCGAGCGAGATAGAAGAGAGGTTATATTGTTACAGTTTATGTGGATAAATTACACCTAATTTTGACTCTATGTATCTGAGATCCATAAACTTAGACGCGTCAGATAGGGGCGTTCACAATTTGGATAAAATTAATCCAAACCAAAAAATCAAACTCAAACCGATTTTATTTGGGTTTGGTTTGGTTTTAGATTTTTAAAAATTGTTAGTGTTTGGTTTGATTTTGGTTTTGTTAAAAAAAATTGAAGACATAACCGAACAAAACCGATAAATTATATACATATATATTATTATTATACATTCATAATATATTGTTTTTATAAATAATTTTAAATATCTTATACATGTTTTCATCAAAATTTATTTATAATTTATTTATGAAAGCAAAAACAACGTTCAAGACGAGAACATTTATCTTATAGGTTTCATGTATATGAATGTCTATGAGAATTCTTAGTGGGACTAGGAATGTCACTATCTGTAATAACTATATAGGTCATTTTCTTCGTTTACCAATCTTTTTAGCGTTTAGAGCTTTCTTGTAATGACCCTAAGTCATTTATGACTTCCTAGGACTGACAGTTCGGTCGATGGGCCTTTAGTTTGGATTTTGTACATGTTTTCATATTTTGGAGCGCTTTTGAAACTTGAACGATTGACTTCAGTCAAAAGTTCTAGAAGACGACCTCAGAATACAATGCTGATGGTTTCATCAGCTCTAGAAGGGCCATTTTATGTTAGGGACATAGTTGGTTCGGGCCCTGAGACTTTTGGTGTGAGTTTGTGTCGTTAGGTGTTTTAACTTTGAAGCTTAAACCAAGAGTTGATTTTGGTCAACATACTTGGTAATCATGCTCGGATGAGAATTTCATCAGCGCAATTAGCTCTGGAATGCCAATTTTGGTCTAGAACGACCTTTCATGCGGTTACCTAGGCTTCCAAACTCACTTTGAGCATTCTTGTGACTTTTAGCTTAAAAGGGAACTTGGGTGTGAGACCCACTTTTCATCAAAACGACCTCAGATGAAAGTTTGATGGTTCCATTGAGTCCGGAATGCCGAATTTGATGGGGTAGAATATTTTGTTTTCGTGCTCAAGGTTCTGAATGAATCTCGGATATCCCGTCGGAGAATTCGGAGTTTGAGCAAACAAGTTAAAGTGCTGATATTTGGTGCAGGGTTTTAGCAACTAGATATCTGAATTTTAGCGACAAGATTTTTGTTTTAGTGACTAGTTACAAGTATTTATACCTAGAAATTTCAACTTAGTCCTCATTCTACCAAATGTAATTTCTTGAGCTTGGGAGCTCCGATTGAGGCGATTCAAAGTTCTGGAGGTCCGTGTCGATCGGGGCTACGTGATGGAGTGTTTGCAAGGTATTAGAGGCTCTCCATTTGATGTATTTTTCTCCTAAAAGGGCTGCCAACTCTCTTTTAGTTTTCTTCAATTTTTGTTTTATTGCATGTGGTGGTTTGGGTTGTTCCAAGCATGAATTGAGTCTTGTTTCGGGGGACAATCTTAGTTAGTCGATTAGGACCTTTTGACGGAGTCAATTTTGGGATTCCTAAAGTGGGTCCCACATTCTCATTTTGACTCAATTTTGGGTTAATTTCCAATTGTTGCAATTTTATTGTCAAAATGTCTGGAATGACGTTATGATTAATAATTTGATAGTTTGCCGATGTTTGGAGGCGTTTTGGATGTGGATAGCTCGTGTATAGTGGATTTGGAGCACTCATGTTCGGCTTTGAGGTAGGATTCGGTCTACTTTTTTGATTGAGCTTCTTAAATAATGCCTAATATAGTTTCATGTATTTTTGGACGGTATTTGTAGGGTATTTAGCTTTTCTCTTGTTATTCCATCTTTTCTTGATTTGGTAGGTGCCTTGTGCTTAATGTGGGTGTTGGGACCCTTTGAAATAACCCCAAAAATGCCCGAAAATGTGCTACAGAAACACTTATAATTGTAATTTCCATATATCTCAAAATCTGTGCATGATTTCGGAAATTCGACTTCATATTCTTATTCATGGGGTCAAATTGAGTGGGAAATGGGTCTAACCCGAATTTTAGAGCAACCGTATCAAAATTCGAAAATCGCAAAAAAATGCAATTTGGAGGGTCAACTTTAAAGGGGAATATCTCTTAGCACACAAGGAACTGGAAGGGTCACAACCTATTAAATTAAAGCTCTTTGAGTTAGCTTTCCAACGCACTTGGTTTTACCTCATTCCGAGTTAGGATGAGGAAGTTATGACCATTTTCGTAAAACTTGTCTGTGCAGATTTGCAATTTCCAGTGAGCTATTTTTTTTTTTAAGGCTAAGTGTTGGGGACGTTTTTTATAAAAAGGGGATATGTCCCATACTTAGTCATTTTTAACTTCAAAAACACTCTCTAAGCCCTTTCCAAAATTCCACCAAGATCCTCAACCAAATTCAAACATCTCAAGCTCTAATTCCGGATTCAAGACTCAATCTCAAGCTTCAATTCTCCATTCCAATCTTCATCAAGGATTCTCCAAAGTTGAGGTATGTGGGTTTGATTGTGGAAACCTTCCTTTCCACAAGTCCAACCATTTATCCTCTATTTCTACCTCAATTTTATGGGTCCTTATGGTTATTTATGAACTCTTGAAGTATGGAATTACTACTACACACCCTATTATGGTCTATTTTGCATATTATCATGAAATGAAATTATTATGTGATGTTTATGGTTTATATGCTTCCACGATCAAATTATGAAGGTTGATATATATATATGTATGTTGTTGGTGGGCGGATTTATATGGATTTTGGAATTGGTTGGACTTAGTACTCTTGAAATACATGATTTTATTTACATGAACAGTAGCCCACCATGTGTTTGATAAAATGCCCATTTATAGAATTCTTAGGAAATGGAAGGTCCAATGTACGTCCTATGAGTCGGATGGTTATATAATTACTGAAATGATGATGAAATGGACACATGTATATGATTTTCTCTATATAAGTGTTGTGAGTCGACCAAGCCTAGCTCGGGGGGTTGTAGGCCCGGGTAACCGCATCGAGGGGTTGGTAACTTGGTTGCCTAGTACGGGGGGTAGTAGGCCCGTATAACCATACCCACTAAATATGATTTTTATGTAAGTATCATTATACATATCATCTCATTAATATGCTATCTATCGGGTATGATTATGTATTTTGCCTATGATGTCCATCTATTGTTGCATTGCATTGCATCCCATATACTTAGTACATTCAAACGTACTAATGCATACTCTATGCCTACATGATGTCACCATGTAGGAACCGGAGCATCGCTTGACCATCCTCATCCGCGTGGCTAATACGATTTTCTATCGAGGTTATTGGTGAGTCCTCCATTCCGGGGACGTTGCTTATGATCTCTTGCTATGTATAAGACTTTTCCTTTTTAGTTATGTGTTGACTATGAGGGTGAGCCCGGTAGTTTGTCTTGGCCCCCGCTAAGTAACCATGTTTAGAGGTGGTGTTAGACAAGTTGTGTAGTATGCTTGAGCTTGACTCATCTATGGTATTTATGTATCATTCTCTTTTTCTCTTGCTCCCTTAGTCCCGACTTCCCTTTGATTATGCTTATCGCTTATGGTCATTTTAATTACTTCCGCGACCAAGGATGTGTAATGATATGCTATGAGGCTTGTTTGGGGTTCCTTCGGGTTCCCCATTCGCCGGTCACGTCTAGGCCCTAGGCTTGGGTCGTGACACCTTTAGTTTAGACTGTGGCGTTGCTTGTGGAGTAAATGATTCTGCTTATCGTAGTTAGGTTGATTCGTGGTTGCCTTTGACTAGGCTGGATATTAGATGCTTCAGGTCATGTTTTATCACCTCGGTAGTTATAGTTTGCTCCCGTTAGGGCTTGTTTTGGGTCGTTCTGCTTGTGATGATGCTTGTGACCTTGGTGGCTTGTTGTAGCCGTGGATTGGTCCTAGCTTTGCTCTGTCTAGGATGTTGACACCAAATTTTAGTCTGATATTTTTCAAAGTTAATACTTAAAGTATTTTAGTCATTAATTAGTTCAAAAATACATATTTTTCAATTTTAATGCAATTTTTTTGATAATTATTCTTATTTTTTGAAAAAATATTATGATTTTGATCGATTAATTTTGATTATAGTATTATTTTGTCACAATTAGTTGAATATATTCAAATATTTGTTCAGTTTTATCAA